GCCATATTCTAAAATGGATTAAATCATTTCCCCCCCCTCATCAATCAACACACAATACCCCATAATGACAAAACAAAAACTGTATTTTGTAAAAGAAATTTGCTAATTTATTAAAAATAAAAACCTTAAAAATCACATTTACATAAGTATTCAGACCCTTTACTCAGTACTTTGTTGAAGCACCTTTGGCAGCGATTACAGCCTTGAGTCTTCTTGGGTATGACGCTACAAATTTCGCACACCTGTATTTGGGGAGTTTCTCCCATTCTTCTCTGCAGATCCTCTCAAGCTCTGTCAGGTTGGATGGGGGGCGTCGCTGCACAGCTATTTTCAGGTCTCTCCAGAGATGTTAGATCGGGTTCTAGTCCGGGCTCTGGCTGGGCCACTCAAGGACATTCAGAGACTTGTCCCGAAGCCACTCCTGCGTTGTCTTGGTTGTGTGCTTAGGGTTGTTGTCCTGTTAGAAGGTGAACATTTGCCTCAGTCTGAGATCCTGAGTGCCCTGGAGCAGGTTTTCATCAAGTATCTCTTTGTACCTTGCTCTGTTCATCTTTAACTCGATCCTGACTAGTCTCCCAGTCCCTGCCGCTGAAAAACATCCCCACAGCATGATGCTGCCACCACCATGCTTCACCGTAGGGATGGTATTGGCCAGGTGATAAGCGGTGCCTGGTTTCCTCCAGACGTGATGCTTGGTATTCAGGCTAAAGAGTTCAATCTTGGTTTCATCAGACCAGGCCATCTTGTTTCTCATGGTCTGAGAGTCCTTTAGGTGCCTTTTTGGCGAACTCCAAGCGGGCTGTCATGTGCCTTTTCCTGAGGGAGTGGCTTCCGTCTGGCATCTCTACCTTAAAGGCCTGATTGGTGGAGCGCTGCAGAGATGGTTGTCCTTCTGGAAGGTTCTCCCATCTCCACAGAGGAACTCTGGAGCTCTGTCAGAGTGACCATCGGGTTCTTGGTCACTTCCCTGACCGAGGCCCTTCTCCCCCGATTGCTCAGTTTGGCCCTGGTGGCCAGCTCTAGGAAGAGTCTTGGTGGTTCCAAACTTCTTTCATTTCAGAATGATGGAGGCCACTGTGTTCTTGGGGACCTTCAATGCTGCAGAAATATTTTTGTACCCATCCCCAGATCTGTGTCTCGAAACAATCCTGTGTTGGAGTTCTGCAGACAATTCCTTAGACCTCATGGCTTGGTTTTTGCTCTGTCATGCACTGTCAACTGTGGGACCTTTATATAGACAGGTGTGTGCCTTTCCAAATCATGTCCAATCAATTGAATTTACCACAGGTGGACTCCAATCAAGTTGTAGAAAAATCTCAAGGATGATCAATGGAAACAGGATGCACCTGAGCTCAATTTCGAGTTTCATAGCAAAAGGTCTGAATACTTATTTAAATAAGGTATTTATTTTGTTGTTTAAATAAATAAAAATAAATGCTAAAATTTCGAAAAACCTGCTTTTACTTTGTCATTATGGGGTATGGCGTGTAGATTGAGGACAATTTTTATTTATTTAATCCATTTTAGAATAAGGCTGTAACGTAACAAAATGTGGAAAAGTGAAGGGGTCTGAATACCTTCCGAATGCACTGTATTTAGCTGGTTTAAACGTACGAGTAGACGGGAGATATATACTCTTATGATGAGAAGTTGGGAACAGTATCCATTCTACATAGTATTTTTCTTTCCGCAACCTTCTGAACTAGGGGTGGGAACCCTGTAGGCTTGGGCGGTATACCATAGACCGGGGTATTTGGAAATAGCCACGGATGTTTTTTCAACACCGTTGAAACTATTTCTTTGAAGTTTTTCAATACATTTCCAGACTTGTAACTACTTTTTAAGTAAATTCCTGCAGTCAACTTGTGCAATTCCACAGGAATGGAAGACCCAGAGTTATCTCTGCTACAGAGGATAAGTTCATTAGAGTTACCAGCCTCAGCATATTTAGCTAGCAGTCTCCATGGAAATTCGGTATTGCTTGTGCTAAATTTGTTAGCATTCTGGTAGACGCCCAGTGGGCTTTTTCTTTGCGTTTTTTGGCTCCCTCTTGTGTACTAAACCGGTAATACCGTAAATCCCGGGATGAGCGAAGGAAGGTCTGACGATATGAAAATCTGAATACAACCCAACCCTAGAACCCTGCAGTCCATGCAGGCTTTTGTTCAAGCCCAGCACTAACTCACCTAATTCAAGTCATCAACTAATCATGGTCTTCAATTTCGACAACAATTGCTTTTATCAGATATGTTAGAGCTGGGCTAGAACAAAAGCATTTACACACTGCTGCCCACTAGCACTGGAGTTACCCACCCCTGGCCTGAACCCTGTCAACATGCCAAATGGAACAGGTGAATGAGGGAACAGATGAATAAATTAATGAAGGGATGAAGTGGATGAGTGTCAGGGACAAAGGAGAGCAGGTATAGGATGAATGATGCATTGTGGGATGGCCCTATCTTGTGTCGGAGTGATGCAGCATGGGTATTCTGTTACAGCCAGGGTCAGAGGGCATACATTAATAAGTCATGTTGCTTCTGTAACCTACGAAACGGTGGCAATGTACCATAGGTAGTTAGCAGGTAGAACCTGAACGTTGTGTATGATAAAAAATGTGTGGTGTGTGTGTGTGCGCGTGTTTGCGTGTGTGGTGACGTTCCCCACTCCCATAGGTGATATAAGGCTGTTTTAGGCATCTGTGATAACTGGTCTATCTCTGTAGTTATTTCAGCCTGTGGCCCCCTGGCCCTGGGAACAGACCTGGCTGTTATTCCTACCTCACTCACTCTGACACCAGCTATCTGGAGCTGCAGATTACAGAGTGGGCTGTAGAGGAGGTGTGGATAGATGGACAGAAGAATGGAGGTGTAGTGTAGTACTGTTACTGAATTCTGAGAGAGGCAGCATTTGTGTGTGTATAATTTAGCGGTGTAGGATTAGGTCATGGCTGTATAGGGTGTCGTGTCTGAGATGAGACCCACACCACATGGTACACACCATGACACAGCACAGCAACCAGGAAGTGACAGAAGAGAGGGGTGGGGCTTACTGGACCAGGTGGCAGACTGGCCAGAGAACAACACTAAAGCTCTCTGACATCATCACATCCACTATTCTTATCTCATTGTTCAATTCTCAGCAACATTCTATTCCAATACTGTATTCTATTCATAACTCTTTCTCAAATATAGCCCTTTCACTACAAGAACACCTAACAAGAACCAAATTCTTCAATGAGAGGGGGCAGCACTGAGCAAGCCTGCAACATCATTTCCTGGAGTAGCTCAAACTGCGCATGTTATATCTCCATGAGACGCCATCTTAACCAACTTAATTTGGCTTCAATACGCTATTGAGCCATCACATAGGAATGAATGGTGTCACGTGATCGATGGCTTTGTCCATTCATATATACATTCATTGGTGTCACTCTAACCTTAAAATCACGTCTCGGCAGAAATGTGTATACTGTATATACTGTATATTCTTTTTTTGCAGTGGCGGCAACAATTTAGAAGGGGCGCATATAGGGGAAACACTGAGTCAACCACAGTATCAGGGAAACAGAGAACGATGGCATACTCTAAATGTAGTGTTTTACATTTCATCAACAGCCCCTGGTAAAGACATTCCCGCTGTGAAGTGATAGACTAGTAGTGTTTACAGTATGTCTTTATTCCACTTAGATATGATGGACATCCTCATTGTTAGGGTGTTTCCATAGTTCCATAGAGCAGGATGTGTGACTTGTCTCCTGGGTAGGAGCTATGCTAGGCCCAGATGTCAGAATAACTCTACATTTACATTTTACATTTTAGCTCTAAATGTTATAGTTTGTGTAGAGGGCCAATATGCCCTCTCTATTGGAGAAAGGAAACCTCAGCACTAAGGTCATGTCTAACTTTGTGTGACTGAGTAAAGTCTCTCCCATTATCTATCCTTCTCTCCCTCTAACACACACACTCTTTCTCTCTCTCTCTCCCTCCTTTCCCTCTCTCTCTCTCCCACTCCCTAACTATTCTCTCTCCGTCCTCTACCTCTATCTAACTCACTCTCTTTCTCTCCCTCCGTCACACACACACTCAACATACAGATGTTGGCTGATGTAAACCACTCAGATTGTTTGAGGCGTGCTGTTGATTACTCTGTGTGCTGTTTGCACGTGTGTGTGTGTGTGTGCACGTGTGTGAGCGCCCATACAGACACATCTGTTTTGCATTGAGATATTAGGCTAACGTGAATATAGAGTGTATGTATGTGGTTGTGGTGGTGGTGGGGGTGGGGGGGGGGGGTCCTTGGGAAGTAAGCTACTCTCACTGTACAATCTGTTCCAGCTGCTGCTGTCTAGCCTTAACGCACCTAGAACAATGATCAGTTGTCTTACTAACTCACCCAGGGCTTATCCAGGGCTGGTTAGCTAGCTACAAAGACAGTGTAAAAGACCTTACCCAAGTAACTTCCAAGTATAGGACCAAGTCTGAGAAGCGAGTTAACACTGGAACACTCGATTACCATTGCCTCAGTATGTTGGGTTAAATCAGGTTCTCTTATCCATAGAGAATGTCCCACAGCTATCAAAAGAAAACAAAGGAGGACACTGGGTTAGTAGTACAGTAAACACGTCCAGGCATGTAGCTCTATCCCTGACTGGTACACCACAGCACCACCTGCTGTTAAACACTGGTACTACATGAGGCCAGGTGAATTGAGGTACTTTAACCCATAAGGGTCTATGAATGAGTGTGCTGTTTGTTTGTTTCTGTTCCTCTCGCGCTGTCTCGTTAGCTTCCGGGTATGGTGGAAAATGACCCGAGCTACGGCAATCTGGCTGGCTTAGTAGTGCCTGTCCCGAATGGCGCGTTCATGTAAATGGGTGTATTGGAAGACACCATGTCGGAAGTGATGGGATTCTGTAAATGTGTTGTGTTATATTGTATTATGATAAACCGATTGCAAAGGTTCAATTAATATAATGAATGATATGTTTAGCTGAGTGGAAAATGCAGGCTTTGATGTTGGTAATTGCTTAATTAATTAAAGAGTTTGGTATGTTCTGATGGGAGGGGCTTCCCCTACAAAAGGAGCCTCTCTTTCAGTTCAAAAAGGGGGACCGTTTTGATTGAGCTGTTGATGGGGCAGCACTGTTTTAGCTGTCCCATAATGTATACTTTTGGTGGCAGTACTGTTTTTCTTCCGGAATCACGATGTAAATAAACACCCTTACCCAGAAGTACTTTTGCGGCTTCCGCCATCGTTTTATTTGATAGAGGTTAGGTTTTTCAGTTTAGCCTTCTGGCCTACTCTACGCGACAGTAATATAACCATATACAATTTCAGTAGCACGTCTTCGCGTGATGACTGTGCCATCCCCATGGCCTCCACAATGGATTAGTCCACTCAGACCAGCGTGAATCAGACAGGGGTCTTGTACACCATGACATTTAATGTATTATTTTGCTACTGCTCGATTAAAGAAATCTCGATTGACCAACAGCCTATCAACCAAACAATCGACCAGTCGACTAAATGGGGTCAGCCCTAATATAAACCAACCACGGTATTTAAGGGGCAGTCTTTCTTCAAAAGTATGTACAATGTATGCATTGTCTTTTTTTGTTGGTACATTAGGAGAAGCGTTAGAGCTAAAAAGCCCTAAAAAGGCATAGCCCCTCAAGTATAGATGTATTTTGCTTTGTTTTTTGTGTGTGTTGTTTGTTAAATGTCTGCTCAGCCCACATGCCCACATATTCTGTATATGTACAGTGTATTCGTAAAGTATTCAGACCCCTTCACTTTTTCCTCATCAATCTACACACAATACCCCATAATGACAACGTGAAAACATATTATTTTTTTCATCACATTTATAAAAATAAATAAACGGAGATACCTTATTTACATAAGTATTCAGACCCTTTGCTAAGAGACTTGAAATTGAGCTCATGTTTCTACAACTTGATTGGAGTCCACCTGTGGTAAAGTCACTTTTTCCACATTTTGTTACGTTACAGCCTTATTCTAAAATGGATTAAATAAATAAAATTGTCCTCAATCTACACACCATACCCCATAATGACAAAGTAAAAACAGGTTTTTCGAAAATTTTTATTTTTTTAAACAACAAAAGAAATACCTTATTTATATAAGTATTCAGACCCTTTGCTATGACACTCCATTGATCATGAGATTTTTCTACAACTTGATTGGAGTCCACCTGTGGTAAATTCAATTGATTGGACATGATTTGGAAAGGCACACACCTGTCTATATAAGGTCCCACAGTTGACAGTGCATGTCAGAGCAAAAACCAAGCCATGAGGTTGAAGGAGTTGTCCGTAGAGCTCCGAGACAGGATTGTGTGGAGGCACAGATCTGGAGAGTACACCATTTTCCCTTATATCTCAGCATATGTACAAAGAAGGCCATTTTCTAATGATGAATTGTACCTTAAATTGTGAAAAATACACATTGATTTCATTGAATGTCCCATCAGGGGCAAATCTGGTGTTTTTAGATAGAATTCAAGCTATTTTAGATAAAATCCAGACAGGAACAATTATTTTAGCAGGTGAGCTACATTGTACATTTAAGATTGACAGACATAGTAATAAAAAAGACACATTTAGGGAGCCTCCAAAGAGGCAGAAACATGTAATCTCTACAAATAATGTACCTGACAACTGGAGATTACTATTCCCAACTACAAAATACTATTCCTTTTTTTCTCAAAGTAAGAAAAGCTATTCAAGAATTGAATACATTTATTTTTCTTCAAAAATGCACTGAACAATTTATTGGATTCAAAAAATAATGATATAGTGATATCGGATCATTCTCCGATATCATGCTTAATTACATTTAGCAACAGAATTTGGAGAATGAACAGAGCGCATCTTCTGGACCCGAATTTTATTTAAAATGTAAACTAAAAAATAAAAACCTTTACCATTACAAATGTAGACAGAGGACAGAGGCGTACATTAGGGGAATGATAATCTCATACTCGGCAAAAGTTAAATCTGATTTAGAAATTAAAGAAAAAAAATCACTATCTTAAAAAGTATCCCAAGAAGTATCTCAAAAAGTATTTACAAGGTAAAGAAGAAAATAAAAGGTTAAACTGAAATAACTACTTAATGGAAAATGAACCTGGTAAATATCTCGCAGCTCTCACAAAACAAATAAATGCTAAACCAGTTATAATTTTAAAAGATAAATATACAAAAGCAGGAATTAGAAACAACAAATGCGATTAATAACAATTTTACAAGTTATTATGACAATTTATATAAATCAGAATTAAACAGTGGGATGGGTCCTATAGCCTTCTTAGACTCAATAACTCTGCAGCAACTATCAACAGACAAAAAATAATCTTTAAAAACAGAGATCACCTAAGAAGAAATATTAGATACTGTTAAAACATTCGCACTCTCACGTTGTATACTGATAGAAGACAGGCGCAGGAATGCGTAATAGGGTTTTTTATTATTCCACCCAACATAAGGTACGTCATGGAAAACAACGGGGACGAAGCCCAAAACAAACACGTATATACAATTTTGGGTTGACCAATGTAGATATTTTCAAATACATCCAATATAAAAAATGTATATCACCAAATGTTGATTAAAAATCTATTGGACATCAGAGCAATCTTGAGAGAATTCTATTTGAGTCAGAAAATGATATTCAGATGATAGGTAAGCTATACAAAACCTTGCAGAGAGAGCCTACACAACTGACAATCTCTTAGAAAAAAAGATAAACTAGTGGAACCAAGATTATTTTTAAAGAACTGATATGGGCACAAGATGGAGGGAATGTTGGAACATAACTAACGAGATTACAGTTAATGAAAATGTATGCTTAATCCAGTATAAAGTAATGTATCGAATTTATTAAGAGACAAAATTCCCAAATTCTACAGCACAACTGCAGTCATGTCTGAAGTGTAAAACTACTAATGAGTCAATAATTCATGCCTTCTGGGAATGTTAAAAAAATCCAAAGTTATGGGCGGAGGTATTGCAATGTAAATGTACTTTTAATTAGTCTGTCTGTATATTTCAAGACATGACATATGAGGGTGTAGTGAGATACCCGATGGGTTGGACAATACTCTTCTCATCAATTATCTTTAAAAAAAAACTTGTACTCAAAAACTGGAAATCAGCCAATCCTCCTCCGTTCACGCAATGGAAAGGTCAAATGCTTTATTATCTAAAAATTGAAAGAGCGTGGGCGATGGAGAGAAAGAAAATGGTGCAGTTTGAGGCCATGTGGCAGAAAGTGATGTGTGCTGGAGATAGGGGTGGGGGCTAGTGGGTCTAGGCAGGTGTGATGTAGTGATGTTTGTATGATGTATTTGTTTGTATGTGTATGTTTTGTATTGTTTATAAAAATGAAAATTAAACATATTTTTTTTTAAATAAGGAAATTGATTTGATTTGACCTTTGCGTGACCCCGTTGACCTGTATCCCCTGGGTCAGATCTCCCTGGAGACGGAGCGTCTGGGGCCTCGTCGTGTGGAGGGGCTGAGGAGGGAGGATGAGGAGTGGACGAGGAAGGCTCACGCTGCCGTCCTCTCCATACAGGACCTCACCGTCAAGTTCTTCGAGACCACCGCCAGGGCTCAGAAAGGTAAGTTCTCACACACACACACACACACACACACACACACACACACAAACAAAGAAACACACACAAACAGAGAAACACACACAAACAGAGAAACAAACACAGAGAAACACACACAAACTCTGTAGAGACAAACTCCAGAGCTATGCATCATCAACAGAGCAGAGCAGCCCATAGACAGACTATTTTACCGACACTCCCTCAGAGTCAGACCCTAATCTCCATGCTTTAAACTGCTTTATCTAAACTCTTCCCCCAATCACCCAAATCACTATAACCCAACTATCAATTGGCTCACACTCTGGTTAAAACCTCAAACATATTTTGTCTACCTTTGTCTACCTTTGGTCCTTTGTAGCTCAATTGGTAGAGCATGGCGCTTGTTACGCCAGGGTAGGGGGTTCGATTCCCGGGACCACTCATACGTGAAATATATGCACGCATGACTGTAAGTTGCTTTGGATAAAAGTGTCTGCCAAATGGCATATATTACTACCCCCAAACATAAACAGTGCATTTTGTGATCACTATCGTGTTTATTTATTTTTCCATCTTTTTGTGTGTGTATTTTATGTTTAAAAAAATGTTTTTACATCTGTGTGTGTTCCAGGGGTTTACGAGCGGATGCGTGTGGACCAGAGGAAGTTTGGTAAGGCGGCGTGGGCTGCAGCTGTGGACCGTATGGAGCGTCTGCAGTATGCCGTGTCCAAGGAAACACTGCAGCTAATGAGGGCCAAGGAGATCTGCCTGGAGCAGAGGAAACACGGCCTGAAAGAGGAGGTACTACTACTACTACTGCTGCTACAATACTACTACTATACTACTACTGTTATAATAGTAATAAACAGTCAGCTGATGAGGGCCAAGGAGATCTGCCTGGAGCAGAGGAAACGGTCTGGACAGGAGGTACTAATAATTCTATAGCACTTTTCCAGACTCTCAAAGCACATTGTATTGGGGAATCATGCCTCATCCACCACCAATGCCACGGCAGCCATTTTACACCAGATATCTCACCACACATCAACTACCCACAATGTCTTTCTGACCATCTCTTTCTCTCTCTCTGTGTGTCTCAGATGCAAAGCCTGCAGGAGGGAGAGGATGCCATGCTGCGGTTAGATCAGATGGAGGCGCTGTACTATGAGCTCCAGTTGCAGCTCTATGACATACAGGCTGAGGTGCTGCGTTGTGAGGAACTGCTGCTCAACGCTCAGCTCGCCAGTCTACGCAGACAGATCACTGGTAATACTACACACTTTATACCTTACTACTGACCAACATTCAGACTAGGAACTGCTGCTTAATGCCCAGCGCACCGGTCTACGCAGACAAATCACTGGTACACAATAATATTATATGTTTGGTTTCCTTTGCTTCCTTTGCTTCTTTACTTCCTAGTATCTCGATACAGGTATCGTGACAACACTACTATACATCTATACCTGTTACTGTTAATCAACACTTAGCCTTTTAATAACTGCTCAGCTCCAGAGCCTCTGTAGAAAGACTGTTAGTGAGGCCTACAGTACGAACAGTGTACCTCTCTGTGTCCTCTCTCCCACAGAGCGCCAGGACGAGGTGGTGTACTATGATGCGTATGAGAGTCCCGATGCCATGCAGCGGGTGGAGGAACCCTCTGCTCCCCCCCTGCCCCTCAGAGATGAGCTCAGCCAGCTGCAGCAGAGGACCAGACAGCTAGAGGCACGCAGGGGACGCATCACCGCCAAGAAGGCCTACCTTAAGAACAAAAAGGTAATTATCAACCAATCACAAACTTACCTCTGGACTTACTAACCAATCAAAGCCATGAAAGCCTACCCCTAGAACAAAAAAGAAGCAGAAGACTAAGACCAATACTTTGTTTATGTCTTTAATCCTCCTGTAATGTGTTGGCTCTAATATGTCTTGTTTATCGATAACCAGGAGATCTGTATCGTCAACCACAACCAGAAGATACAGCAACGCCAAGGTAGTCAGGACGACCAGACATCGCATCAAGCACTGCAACAAGTACGTTGTCTTTCATTAGTGTTTGTGTTCGAGATTCCCTAAAACGCGCCACTTTGATACAGCTATGACCAGAAGTTACTTTTTTGTAGCAGGTTAGGAGAATTAACGCAGCAGGGTAGGAGAATTAACGTGGCAGGTTAGGAGAATTAACGTGGCAGGTTAGGAGAATTAGGTTAAGGTTAGGAAAAGGGTTAGGGTTAGCGAAAATGCTCTCCTAACCTACGAAAAGTCACTTCTGGTTGTAGTTGTATCGAAGTGGCGTGTTTTTAAGGAGTCCCGTTTGTGTTGATTCAGTATTACAGGGATGATGGTGAGTATAGTTCCTCATCCTATCTGTGTTTCTCCGTAGCGAGGGGAGGAGCAGGAGGAAGAGGAGGAGGAGAGGAGAAACGCCAGAATGAGTCTGGATAGATCGAGAACTCTGGACAGACTACGCAGCTTCAAACAGGTGAGGTCACCGCTACTTCTGAAGAACACTCTAAACCTCTCATGTTATGTGGATCTTAGTTTAATGCTGTGTTTAGACTCGGGTGATGTTGTAACTTTTGGTTCTGTCTGTTGCAGCGTTTCCCTGGTCAGGTGACTCTGAAGTCCAGCAGACTGCTTATGTCCCACGGCCACTCCCGGAAGAAAACCTCCTCCCCCCTCTCTCCCGTGGGGAGGCCTGTGACCCTAGCTGCCAGCGTCCAGACAGACACCGCTGACCTCTCAGAGCTCTCTGCCCCTCCCGCTGATGCCTGTGGTCACCAGAGTGTCTCTCTACCCCCGCTAGGGGGCGCCACTGGGCCTCTCTCTGCCCCCTCCTCTCCAGCTCCTCTCTCAGCGCTCCCCTCCTCTGCACCTCCACCACCTCCTCCTCCCCCACCCCCTCCCTCCTTAGAGGACCTCTCCAGTGAGGGAGGGGAGCGGGCTCACCCCACTAGCCCAGTCCGGCAGTCCAAGGCTGGGTCGGATTCAGAGCCTCTCCCCCTGGCTCCGTTCTCTCCACGGTTCTTTGACAGCAGTCAGCTGCAGACAGCCAGGAAGAAACTGAAGAAGACAGCCTCGCTGGACTCCTCACAGTGGAGGAGAGGTGAGACATGACAACATACAAATACTGTATTTTAAAGGAATATTTCTAAATGACAAGTTGACTCGATTTTTCTCTGACATGTTCCATTCTCCCATCTCTACAGCGAGTTCCCCCATGGACGAGGTCCTGAACTCCCTGAAGCGAGGCAGCTTCCACCTGCGGAAGGCAGAGCTCCGGGTCCTAGCCCCCGACCCAGACGATGACGAGAGCAACAACATCCTGGCCCAGATCCGGCAGGGTGTCCGGCTGAGGAAGGTGCGGACGCGGCCGGACCAGCAGCGGCACACCAAGGGCTCGTTCCCCCACTCTGCCGACGCTCTGACCCGCTCCATCCACGAAGCCTTGAGACGCATCAAGGAGGCTTCGCCTGAGTCGGAGTCTGAGGACGAAGGCCTGCCCTGCACGGACTGGGAGAACTAGATACTAGATACACACACAACACGCACACCACACACACCCAGTCGGAGTCTTGAGGACAAGGGCCTGCCCTGTACCGACTGGGACTCTGACCTTTAATCTCAGCCCACTACTATCTACTATTTCTGGCTACACATTGACAGACCCAGAAAGCGGAGTAGAGATGTTTCCTGATGTTTTTTTCTTCAGAAAATAGGTCAGAAGTAACTATTTCTTACTATTTCTTCTCATCTTTGAAATGGACCACTAGCCTTTATCTCCTTGTTTTCTATGCTGTGCTGACTGACTCCTCCTGCTCTCTCCGAAGTCAAGCACTTTGAGAACCTCGTAATGGAAGTCACTATGTAAATGCATTTCCTTCATTTGATTCCTTCATTGTCTTGTACCAAGTGGGGGAATGAGGCCCCTTGTCAGTGCACCGACTGGAGAGCTAGGGTTCTGGGATCCCGTATGTAGAATGAACTATGAAGTTGGAGAGTTAAGCTGTAGGTTGCTGTGGTGCGTTTGTTTTACGTTTGACAGGATTTAGTGTTTTCTTCAGTGTTTATTCAACCCCCTGTAGAATAAGGTGTGTTATTGCTTGGCTGGAACAAAAGCTTGCACCCACACTGTACGGCGCTCTACGGGTGAGCTTGGCCACCACTGGTATTGAAGTTGAGAAGTCATGATGATGTTCTCTGTAAGAGCAGTGCCCTTACAGCCAGCTGAAGTATCCAGCTCTACACAGGTGTCATTCATTCCATATTCATTTTCCCTCATGAAGTGTGTTTTTTTTTTTAAGTGTGCTTTTACGGTCATTTTTATTTAGAAAGGAGTGTTTCTTTTCTCTTTTTTTCTGCCTTGTTTTTACAATATATTTTCCACGTGAGGCCACTAGTACCGATTGTACCTGGAGTCGCTTCACGTTTTTATCTAGGTTTGATTATTTTATCCGTCTTTTATCTAAGAGTTGTGTCAAAACGGAAACTATTACTATAGGAACAATCTCTGTTTACTGTAATGATTCATGCACTGAGTATGAAGAAATAATGATGTACTGTTAGGAACTGAAGGACTGAGAGTTCACAACTGCTGTTCAAATTGTTGTTTGGCCAGGTCAAAGGTTGTAGTACTGTATTTTTCCAGCACCATCTTCAGTGGTCTTGAAAAACTGTCAGATAGAAATGTATGGTGCAGAGCTGATATGATTGTCTGTCATGTAGAATAGGGATCCTGTCAGCTCTATTCATCATATTTCTATCTGTGTGTTTACCTCACTGAATCCACCAGTGGTGTGGTAACTAACCTCAGTGAGTTAGTGGACTGAGCATATGGAGCTCATGTTTCATGCTGTGTCTTTATGGCAAGTGGTCAAAACCCAATCATGTGACTTTCTGCAGCATCCACATACTGTATCTCTGACTGCGTCTCAGTAGTCTGAAGTGGGTTCCTCTCCTCGTCTCCTCTCCTTCATCTGTACTGATCTATAAACCGTGGGTAGGTGACAGCAACATAGTGGAATGACTCTGAGGAATTAGCTTTCCACTGTCCAGATCTTTTAGTGCAGATGGAGAGAAGTTTAGGAGTCTAGAGGCAGTCATTTTAGTTATATTGAGATGCCCCCCTCCTAGTCCTGTCTCATCATGTTCTCTATAGACATACATACATACAGTAAAAACCTGTCTGTCTTTTGGGAAATCACTGGTTTTCATAGTCCGTTTTCATCATTGTATTTGGGGTATTTATGTATCTTTTCTTTTATACATATCTTTGTTATACATGATTTGTATAATCCAAATCTTATATGTATTATTCATTTCCATTTTTTTGCAGTCTACTCTTATTTCTGTCTTCAGCTAACTCTACAGTTTGACCTATAACTTTTGACTTGTATGACCTTATGCATGTGGCTGGCCTGGTCTGATTTGAAGATGAGTCTGTCACTAGATAAGTGCAATATTATTATATTAAACTGAAAAATATGTATTATAATGTAATCAAGTGTACATCCTGAAAATACATTGGCATGCTTAAAAACGTAAGTATTTATTTAGTAAAAACGTTGTTTTAAGAAATGGAGTTAGGATTCATAAAGCAATACCACACAAAATGTAATGTGCTTTTTAAGATGTTCTTTTTGCATTTGAATCTTGTCTTTTCCTGTCATCGCATTCCTAACTGCTTTATATATATCCCAGTTATATTTTTTCCCTTCAAAATAAAACTAAGTACCAAAATGTCTTCCTGTCCTGTTCTTTGACTTGGCATCACAGAGCAATTAGAACTCAGCGTTTGGCCAAACCAGCCAGCCTTTTGTTGGACCTAGCACATCCCCTAGAGGTCAACCACAAATAGTAATTCATAAAAATACAGCCAGATGGCCCCCTTTTAGGCAGTAAGTGGATGTGATTTTATACAAGCAACAGGACTGGATGGGAATTGAACTGGTCTCTACAGAGAAGAATGTACAGATTAGACAATCAAAGAAACACAAAACAAGAACAACATTCAGATGAGTGAAAACCCTTAATTTGTTTAAATTGTTTTTATTTTACTATAAACTGAAAATTACAATTGTGTTTAAGCATGTGGCATAATCAACATTTAAAATTATTACTCAAACGTTTTCCCCTTTCAAACTGTAGAAGTACAGATCATAATTGAAACGCTATAAAAGCCAGCCCAACCCAGAAACCCCATTTAAAGTCTCCCAAAGATACTAGAACCAACAATAAGCCCTTAAAGGTCGACGTTGGGCAAAAAAACTGAAAAATAACGGCTTTAAACTGTATAACTGATCAATGCACCATCATACCAGGTCAATGCTTAAAAACTAAAATAACTGTATGAATAAGATATCTGGCTACAGAAGTGCCATTTCTTACAAATCTCTACCGCTTCCATCGAAAAACAAATTGGTCGCCGTGCACATGACACATCAACGAACCACCAAAGGCACACCCCATTTCTGTTTGAAAATTGAGAAAGGGGCGGAGTCTGACAGTTTTTCGTGCCCAAAGTCGACCTTTAAATAGTGTTCTTCACGTATACATATAGTTGTTTTTATAATTTTTATACATTATCACAGAGTTTTGGCAATAGTAAACCCCAGAAAAGTATCGGAGTTAGTTACCATTGATGCATCTTTGTACCAAAGGCAACATCAACAAAATTAATATTCTGTACAGGAAAACATATTTTGGCAAAAAGGAAAGTCTCTCTGCAAACCTCACCTGCTATGCACAAGTGACTATAAATCCATTTCCTTTTTAAATAGTTCAAACATATTGCCTGTCTTTTTTTCTATACCTAAAAAAAAAACTTGATACCCACCTACCAGACATTAAATAAGTGACAAATATCTTTGTTTCATACAATTCTCATTAAAATCTGTGGTTATAATATATCTGGAATAATAAATAAAGGGAAAACATCATGAACCAATCAATCATTGCACTTCAAGTCGCAACAGAAACAAGGGGAGGGAAAATAAAGAAAAAATTCACCCAAACATACAATTCCATTTTCACAAGTGCACTATAGATTTGTTATATTAGTATTTGTAATAAAAAAGTTTATAGAAAGGAAAGACTTTTGTAGTCACTGCTGACCCAAATCCCAGCTTCTGGGCTTAGAGTGGCGTTGTTTCTGCCTTGTCTCTCCTTACATTTCCCAGAAGAAGAGGAAAATACCTGAAAGTGAGACTTAAACATGTTTATTTTTCTTCTTGATGCTCCCTCTTTGTATTGCTCATTTAGTATAGAAGGTTGTCCAAGATCTGTTCTCAATCTTGGACAAGATGCCAGATTCTTCTTCAATCTCCATGGTAACATTGTGATAGGAGGGAGGACGTTGGGAGCATTTGATAACAAAGTCACTGGGAGGTCATCTGTCTGACCTCTGACCCTTAGTCCTAGTCCAGTGTTAGATGGGGCCTCAGAGCGAACGGCCATTGAGTCCAGTGAAACGCTGTACAGACCAGTGAGAGTCTGACTATCTCTATTTCCATGACCACATCTGATCTGATCTGACTGTCCTTTTGGCTGACATTGATATCTCCATAGTAATCAGAGCAATAATAGTACTGTAGTAATAATAGAAGAAGTAACGTGTAGATGTAGAATAGTTAGAAAACAGACCTGAATGTGTGGCGGATGACAGCGAAGAGTAAACAATAACAATAAGCAAAACATCCACCAGCGACTCTGGATGACTGAACTGAACTTTGCACCAAATAAATGTAGAAAATGAGTGCTTCCTTTTTCCTGTTAAAAGTCTGTGATGGAAGAAAAATCCAAAGCAAAATAACCCACCATATTCAACGTCCTCTCCTATGGAATGCTAGCCAGACTTGGCAAAAAAGCTGAAAATACAGTGCATTCCAAAAGTATTCAGACCCCTTGACTTTTTCCACATTTTGTTACGTTACAGCATTACAGACAAAAACAGGTTTAGAACTTTTTGCAAATGTATTAAAAATATAAAACAGAATTTACATATGTATTTAGATCCTTTGCTATGAGACTCAAAATTGAGCTCAGGTGCATCCTCTTTCCATTGACAATCCTTGAGATGTTTCTACAACTTGATTGGAGTCCACCTGTGGTAAATTCAATTGATTGGATATGATTTGGAAAGGCACACACCTGTCTATATAAGGACCCACAGTTGACAGAGCATGTCAGAGCAAAAACCAAGCCATGAGGTCAAAAGGAATTGTCCGTAGAGCTCCGAGACAGGATTGTATTGAGGCACAGATCTGGGGAAGGGTACCAAAAAATGTCTGCAGCATTGAAGGTCCCCAAGAACACAGTGGCCTCCATCATTCTTAAATGGAAGAAGTTTGGAACCACCAAGACTCTTCCAAGAGCTAGCCGCCCAGCCAAACTGAGCAATCAGGGAAGAAGGTCCTTGGTCAGGGAGAACCCGATGGTCACTCTGACAGTTCCTCTGTGGAGATGGGAGAACCTTCCAGAAAGACAACCATCTCTGTAGAACTCCACCAATCAGGCCTTTATGGTATAGTGGCTAGACGGAAGCCACTCCTCAGTAAAAGGCACATGACAGCCCACTTGGAGTTTGCCAAAAGGCACCTAAAGGACTCTCAGACCATGAGAAACCAGATTCTCTGGTCTGATGAAACCAAGATTGAACTCTTTGGCCTGAATGCCAAGCGTCACGTCTGGAAGAAACCTTGCACCATCCCTACGGTGAAGCATGGTGGTGACAGCATCATGCTGTGGGGATGTTTTTCAGCGGCAGAGACTGGGAGACTAGTCAGGATCGAAGGAAAGATGAACAGAGCAAAGTACAGAGTCCTTAATGAAAACCTGCTCCAGAGCGCTCAGGACCTCAGACTGGGGCGAAGGTTCATCTTCCAACAGGACAACGACCCTAAGCACACAGCCAAGACAACGCAGGAGTGGCTTCAGGACAAGTCTCTGGTTGAACATCTCTGGAGACACCTGAAAATAGCTGTGCAGCGGCGCTCCCCATCCAACCTGACAGAACATGAAAGGATCTACAGAGAAGAATGGGAGAAACTCCCCAAATACAGGTGTGCCAAGCTTGTAGCTTCATACCCAAGAAGAATCGAGGCTGTAATCGCTACCAAAGGTGCTTCAAAAAATACTGAGTAAAGGGTCTGAATACTTAAGTAAATGTGATATTTCAGTTGTTTCTTTTTAATAAATTTGCAAACATTTCTAAAAACCTGTTTTTGCTTTGTCATTATGGGGTATTGTGTGTAGATTGATGAGGGGAAAAAACAACAATCCATTTTAGAATAAGGCTGTAATGTAACAAAATGTGGAAAAAGTCAAGGGGTCTAAATACTTTCCGAATGCACTGTAGATATTTGAGCAGTTTGTAGTCAGAGAGTAAATAACATTCCAAAGGGAGGGAGGAGAAGAGATGGAAGGCAGGGTGTAAGTATAGCCTCAACAGGACCTCTGTGAAGTGAGTGTGAGTGTATGTGCATTCAGTATACAGGTGTACCAGCAATATGCACATGTAGTGAACATTAGCCAAAACTAAATCCAAGCAAACAAGTCTATCTATTTACTATTAATGTGCATGTTTTCAGTAGAGTGCAGAATAATGACTGTGTGTGTACTAATAACAGTGTGAATATTTTCGTACAGTGCCTTTGTGCACTGACTAGCAATATTCTCCCGTCACTGTGTTGTTATAATGGTGGTGATGGTGTAGGAATAGTGAAGCTCCACCAGGGGGCTCTGTAGTAGCACTCCTCTCCTCTAGCTGCTGCTGCCCTCGATGAGTCTAGCCAGGCTGTCTCTGAGCTCTGTCAGCTCAAAGATCTTCCCGTCCAGCAGCTCTAGCAGGGTGCGCAGACTCTTCCTGAAGGCCTCTCTCTCCAGCTGACTGCCCTCCAGACGCTGCTCCAACTCCACCAGCTGAGCCTCCAACGTCAGGTTCCTCTCCTCCGTCTCCTGGGAGTGGGGGAGGGGGGAGATGTTAACATGTGCACACACACATTCATACACACACACACACACACACAAACTGACACCCACTCATTACAGTGAAAACATAACATTATGATTATAACTACTGTTCCCTGAAGGAGGGAAATTAGGTACAACATACTATGGGGAGTTGCACTCTCGCGACTTCGGTTGAAGGATCTAAAAATCACGCCTGACAAGGCCAATGAAATCTGCACCTTGCTGGAAGCCCCGCCTTCCACAGGTGATAAGTGTCAGGCTCGGATTCATTCCGTCAATTGAATACTGCACAGGAACGGGCGGAGCGGGGCCAAACACGTGTTGTACCTCGTTTCCCTCCTTCAGTGAACAGTATACACAGAACATGATTGCCATGTTCTCAGAACATTACATATTAATGTTCTAGACACATTTCATGGGAACGTTGCAAGAACATTCATGTGTCAAGTTTTCTGAGGGTTAGGAGAATATTCCAACGTGTCTAGAACATTAATAGCTTATGTTCTGAGAACATGGCAACCATGTTCTGTGTATGTTTGGTGGGACATTGATGGAATATTCTCCTAACCCACAGAAAACTGGACACAACGTTCTAGCAACGTTTCCATGGAACGTGTCTAGAACATTCATGTCTTAAGTTCTGAGAACATGATAACCACGTTCTGGGTAAGTTCTATTGGACATTAAGGGAATGGTCTCTTGGAAACATTTCTTGCACATCACAGACACATTCCTATGAAAATGTTAGTTAATGACATAATGAAACCTAAAGGAACGTTCTCTAAAGTTGTGGGAACGTTTGTTGTTAGCTGGGAAGTCCCAACCCCTTTTCGGAAAAAGGAAATACCGTCTGTACCTGCCGTCCTGGATCCGACATTGAAACCACTCGGATTGGCCTGCATCTGGAGAGGGGAGGATATTGCCTCCCTCAAAACGGCCACTGAGGCCTTGGGAACAGTCGACCCGATGATGCAGCAGAAGCGTGGGGTGCGCGCAACAAATTGTAGCCTTTAACCCGACATCACTGTTCGCATGATCCAGAGCAACACTGTGCATGCTCGCCATTGGTCGGAGCAGACAGCGAGCCTCCCGTCAAGTGCCATCTGAAGGGGCGGGACGCCATCTTGTGGACTGTGAGAGATTGGTTATTTTTCCGTTTCGACCACCGTGTGTCTGAACATGGAGAAGGGACACTTTTCATTGAACTCACATGTTGGAGACACAACACTTTTGGTACCCGTGAACACTGTGGAACTTTGGGTTGACACAACTGTGTTTTTGCGTCAAGGTTTGCATGTAGCCCGGTCCAGTCTGCGTTCCCGGGCTCTGGCAATCAGTGACATACCCCGATTGGCGGCGCCTCTTGGGGGTACTTCTGTCACAACAAGCCTGACTCGGTTTAGCCGGTAACCGGCTGGCACCCAGCGCTGGACCGCACGCATTAAAAATAGACCAAGGAAAACCTCTACCATGAAGGTTATCATACCCACCAGCCATAGGTACCGGTGCCACAGCACCTTGTAACTCAGCTGGAAAAGGGACAGACAGCTTTGAAAAACGGGCCCCTTATGTGGTAACAGACAGGGGCGATTCGTAATTGAATCTAATTCCCAGGAATGAAACCACTTATAGAACCCATAACCTGTATCACTAAGCACCTCATAGGGACTAGTGAGCAATGAGCCACTTTTGGGGGAGGTGTGCCCCCTTGTGGACAGAGAGTAAATCCACTAACTTATTACTGTCACCCTGGGGAGGTCGATATACAGTGCCTTCAGAAAGTATTAATAACGCTTGACTTATTCCACATTTTGTTGTGTTACAACCAGAATTAAAAATGGATTAAATATATTTTCTTCTCACCCATATACACACAATACACCATAATGACAAAGTTAAAACGTGTTTCGAAATGTTTGCAAATTTATTGACACTCATTTACATAAGTATTGACACCCCTGAGTCGATACTTTGTAGAAGAACCTTTGGCAGCAATTACAGCTGTGAATCTTTCTTAGTACGTTTCTATGAGCTTCCCACACCTGGATTGTGCAACATTTGTCCATTACTCTTTTCAAAATTATTCAAGCTCTGTCAAATTGGTTGTTGATCATTGCTAACCAACCATTTTCAGGTCTTGCCATAGATTTTCAAGTAGATTTAAGTCAAAACTGTAACTCGGCCACATTCACTCTTCTCTTGGTAAGCAACTCCAGTTTGAATTTGGTCTTGTTTTTTTAGGTTATTCATCTCCCAGTGTCTGGTGGAAAGCAAACTGAACCAGGTTTTCCTCTAGGATTTTGCCAGTCCTTAACGATTACAAGCATACCCATAACATGATGCAGCCACCACTATGCTTAAAAATATGGAGAGTGGTACTCAGTAATGTGTTGTATTGGATTTGCCCCAAACATAACACTTTGTATTCAAGACAAAAAGTTATTACTTTAGTGCCTTGTTGCAAACAGGATGTATGTTTTAGAATATTTTTATTCTGTACAGGCTTCCTTCTTTTCCCTCTATCAATTAGGTTAGTATTGTGGAGTAAATACAATGTTGTTGATCCATCCTCAGTTTTCTCCTATCACAGCCAATAAGCTCTGTAAATGTTTTAAAGTCACTATTGGCCTCATGGTGAAATCCCTGAGCGGTTTTCTTCCTCTCCGGCAACTGAGTTAAGAAGGACGCCTGTATCTTTGTATTGACTGGGTGTATTGATACACAATCCAAAGTGTAATTAATAACTTCACAATGCTCAAAGGGATATTCAATGTCTGCTTTTTTAAATTTCTACCAATAGGTGCCCTTCTTTGCGAGGCATTGGAAATCCTCCCTGGTCTTTGTGGTTGAATCTGTGTTAAACAGGGACAAGCTTCCAAACTAAGTTGTGCTTCCGTGAGACTGAATAGCCTGGATGAAGCCCGGCCCCTTTTGGACACAGAGGGCTCAGGCAACGGCTGACGTAGCACCCCGTTTGGCCGTAACCAAGCGTGGGGGCACTGACTTCATAGTAATGTTTTGTGGGGGGGCATACCGGTTGCTCAGACCTGTACTAAAAGTGCTCGGATGCTGCTTCCTCATCAGAGATGCCCACAAGCCCCACTTCCTCCACTCCAGGAATTGGAAATAGGAATGGGGTTGCGATACCGCCGGGGGAACGCTTGTAAGCTTAATTCACCTGAAGTCATGCATGCTAGCTGAAGTTAGCCATGAAGCTTCTAGTCTAAGCTAGGCTAGCTAGCCTCTTTGACTGCAGCACGGTTCCGTTTAGAATAACTATGTATACTAAACAAGAGAGCTACCCAAGCAATTCCACCGTTAGGAAGCCGGAATAGCTAGCGCATCTCAGCAAGTTAGCTAATCTGGCTAGCATGCTATGCAGCGCTCGTTAGCTAACCTGGTCACGAAAGTCTACATAGAACCGGATCACCGAGGTTGGACCCTTCTGGGAAGAGGCAATCAGTGCTTAATCAACCTGGTCGCCCTCTCACTTCGAGTAGCCTCCCGTAACTGCCGACAAAGCGCACAGGAGCCATTCGACCCGACTATCGACCAAATCCATCTCTACGTCCCGCAACTCAGACTCAGCCAAGGTATGGGCACCCAGGAGAGGAAGTCCCTATCGGAAACACCAAGACCCCTAAAGAATGCTACACTATTGTCAATAGAACCTGTGCCGCGGACTTGTAGGGGAATAGTGCCAACCGTCCCATAGTCTCGCACGAGGGCAGCCAGAGTGTGCACCGAGCCGAGACATACAAGACAACAAACGTGAGTATCTTTTAATTAATTTGGGGCATGGTCTCGAACCCGAACCCAGCTTGTCAGCCTTCGTCGTTTCAGTCACGTTAGCCATCTTACTTATTGCTTTAGCCAGGCCAAGCAATCCGAAGAATAACTAATTGTTCATGATTAGGACACTTATAAGAACCATACAAACTTCAGCACACAACGTCCAGGGGTAGGGCAGGGAATTGCCAGGGACCTCACGATACGATATTATCATGATACTTAGGTGCCGATACGATATGTATTGTGATTCTCACGATTCTATATGTATTGGGATTCGATATTGTGATTTTATTGAGATTTCAATGATCCAAACACATTGCTCACCATACAGTGCCTTCAGAAAGTATTCACACCCCTTGACTTTTTCCACATTTTGTTGTGTTACAGCCTGAATTTAAAATGGATTAAATTGAGATTTTGTGTCACTGGCCTACACACAATACCCCATAATGTAAAAGTGGAATTATGTTTTTAGACATTTTTACAAATTAATTAAAAATGAAAAGCTTAAATGTCTTGAGTCAATAAGTATTTAACCCCTTTTGTTATTGCAAGCCTAAATAAGTTCAGGAGTAGAAATGTGCTTAACAATTACATGATAAGTTGCATGGACTCATTCTGTGTGCAATAATAGTGGTTTAACATGATTTTTCTCTGTACCCCACACACAAAATTATCTGTAAGGTCCCTCAGTCGAGCAGTGAATTTCAAACACAGATTCACCACAAAGACCAGGGAGGTTTTCCAATGCCTCGCAAAGAAGGGCATCTATTGCTAGATGGGTAAAAAAAAAAAAAAAAGACATTGAATATCCCTTTGAAGTTATTAATTACACTTTGGATGGTGTATCAATACACCCAGTCAATACAAAGATACAGGCGTCCTTCCTAACTCAGCTGAGAGGAAGGAAACCGCTCAGGGATTTCACCATGAGACCAATGGTGACTTTAAAACAGTTATAGAGTTGAATGGCTGTGATAGGAGAAAACTGAGGATGAATGAACAACATTGTAGTTACTCCACAATACTAACCTAATTGATAGAGTGAAAAGAAGGAAGCCTGTACATAATACAAATATTCCAAAACATGTATCCTGTTTGCAACAAGGCACTAAAGTAATACTGCAAAAAATGTGGCAAAGCAATTTACCTTTTTCTCCTGAATACAAAGTGTTCTGTTTGGGGCAAATCCAATACAACACATTACTGAGTACCACTCTCCATCTTTTCAAGCATAGTGGTAGCTGAATCATGTTATGGGTATGCTTGTAATCGTTAAGGATTGGGGAGATTTTCAGGATCATAAAGAAACGGAATGGAGCTAAGCATAGGCAAAATCATAGAGGAAAACCTGGTTCAGTCTGCTTTCCACCAGACAGTGGGAGATGAATTCACCTTTCAGCAGGACAATAACCTAAAACACATGGCCAAATCAACATTGGAGTTGCTTACCAAGAAGACGGTGAATGTTCCTCGGTGGCCGAGTGGCAGTTTTGAGTTAAATCTACTTGAAAATACAGTGCAAGTCAAAGCCTATGAATACTTTCTGAAGGTACTGTATGTCTGCTGCAGAGGGACAAGAGAGAGCCATGATATTTGTTTTTTGATCAGTCATGGAAATAAAAGTGCTAAAACAAACTGGTTTCCCATTTAAAAAGAAGATGGAAAAAAAGATATGAAGGAAAAATGCTGAAGTTTTTGTGTAGGTACAGCCAACTAGCACAAAAACTATATTGCAATATTGTCAAAACGATACGATATATCATCAAAAATAATATCCCGATATGTAACTGTATACATGTTTTCTCCCATCACTATCCAGGGGGTGAGCACGCTCTACCGCTAAGGGACAGTTTAGTTAGTGCAACGTAAGACAGTCTTGTGTTCCAAATGTTTGTTTTAGTAGCGTGAATCGTTCCTGTTCACACCGAGGTGAAGAGCGGAATAATTGAAGGAATGAATCTGAGCCTCACACTTATCACCTGTGGAAGGCGGGGCTTCCAGCGAGGCGCAGATTTCATTGGCCTTGTCAGGTGTGATTTTAGATCCTTCAACCAAAGTCACGAGAGTGCGACTGCCCATATTATGTTGTACCGAAGTTGACTGACTGAAAGAGAAAAGGTATGTATGTAAGGCCCAGTGCGGTGTGCAGAACAGTACAGTGCAGTGAAGAACAGTATTTTTCATAAGTCTCGCCTGTAGTGTCTGTGTTAGTGATTCCTTCTGAGTCTGGAACTCATTGGCACTCTCCACTTCCTCTTTCAGCCTCTCTAGTTCCTGCAGGGAGGAAAAAAATACATTTACAAGTTTCACGTTTTATTTGTCACATGCACAAGTACAGTGAAATGCTTACCTTGCAAGCCCCTCCCAACAGTGCAGTATTCAATATCAAAATAGTTGGAGAAATAAGAAATAAGAGATAAGAAAAGAAAACAGGAGAATGTAAGCTATATACAGGGTCAGTGCCAGTACCACATTTACAATGTGCAGGGATACTGGAGTGGCTCAAAGACACAGGGCTCACATGTATGCTTTCTCCCTCACAAATGCAGTTTACATGCCACACGCACATTCGCGCACACACTCCTTACCTCCTCCTTGGACTTTAATGCTGACTCCAGTTCTTCTATTGTCTGGTTGAGCTCAGTCTTCTGGGATTTGATGACTGTCATCTGACCACTCACACACTCCAGCTCTGTCACCTGAGGACATACACAGTGTGGGTAATCATACTGTGTTCTTTGTGTAACCATTCTGATCCGTTTGTGTAGCCTCTCTCTATTACAGACCTGGGTTCAAATACTATTTCAAATATCTCAATTACTTTCACATACATTTCGAAGTAAGTATTCCAATATTTTTTTATTTGAAAAGATAAGTAGTTCAATATTGGAATGTATTTGAAAATACTCAAATACACTGACTCAAAAACACTTGCATGCATTTAACTGAGGTATTTGAAAATAGTATTTGAAATAAGTATTTGAAAATACTTTCAAAAAGTTCCAATAGAAGTAGTTGATTCGGGCCACATTATTTGAAAAAACTCAAAAACACAGAAAATAAGTATTTAAATAACAGATAATCAAATACACATGTATTTGAAACCAGGTCTGCTCTCTTACCCGTTTGTAAACTCAGTCTTACCCATTTGTGTAGCCTATCTTACTAGTTTGTATAGTTTATTTATCTTACCAATTTGTGTATTCTCTCTCTATTACGCCTTTATAAAGTTAGTCAGTCTTACGCGTTTATGTAGTCTCTCAGCCTCCTCCTGGTAAGCAGCCAGTTGTTGTTTCCACTGTTTGACGTTGGCTGTGGACTCCAGCAGAGCTGCTGTCAGCTTGGCATTGTTGCCCTTCAGGGCTGCCAGCTCGGCCTCCCAGTGCTTGTTTATACTGGACGAACTGGAGACAGACAGACAGACAGACAGACAGACAGGCAGACAGACAGGCAGGCAGACAGGCAGACAGGCATAAACTTCAGAACTGTTTCGGTGACCATGAGCTGAGACCAAGATCCAGAGTATTTAGACCATGACAAGACCAAGACTGCTTTTTTGTAGTCTTGAGTGGTCTTAAGACCAAGACCACAAGATCAACACTCCATCTCTGATAAAACATAATAATTGTCTTCCTGAAGAATAACAATGCTATCATTTGACTCTTGGGTAGAATACTAAACCATTCCAGCAGCAATGTACAAATTATACATGTTCAACTTCATGTTCATCAGCACCGTGGAGTACTGCGTCTGTTCAGCTTGTAACAGAGGAAAATTAGGGAGTTTTAAATGAGGGAATTGGAAGACCGTTTATTTTTATTTTTAATTGGTATTATCTTAACATTTCCAAAGAGAACTGAATGTGTTCATTTCTTCAGCCTTCACCCACTGACCGACCATGCCTTTCCCACTAAGGTGCACTCTCTTTGGGCTTGGCACCATACTCCTGCCCCTGCTTTTAGAGCCTGGGTCTTACCTGTGAGAGAAGGGCAGTTGGTTCTGGGAAGGCTCGGCACGGGGCTCAGGGAGGTACTGCGGCGTTTCGGGGGTGGTGCCCCTCTCGTCATCAGTGCCGTTGATGCTCTCCGGGGTCAAAGGTGACTGCAGGTCGCCAGTGGCTGACTCCTGACATGATGTAAACAAGAAGGTTAAAGGAACAGAAATACCCATAAACAGTTTTTGTATGCTCTCAGGTGCTGGGTAAAGAAAATACTGATGTAATGTGGAGATAATACCTGCAAAATGATTTATACTCCACAGAAAGTGATGTTTAATTTTTAGTTTTTTCAAGTGAGTTTTAGTTTTTCTCAAGTGAGTAGGCCTATGTGTTTTTAAGTGAGCCTGTCATTTTCTCACTTGAAAAAAGAAACATCACTTTATGGGAGCATAAATATCTGACATTGGGAGATAGGAGAGTTAATCTGATACTGAGAAGGGGTTAATTAATCTGGGTGTTAATCTGATATTAGGATGGGAGAGAGAGAGAGGAGTTGTTAATCCACGATGGAGGGCAGGGTTCTCCCCAAAGAGTGGAACAGTGCCATTCATCACCTTGTTCAATTCTGGGTTAAATATATAGTGTACATACTGTATAGTGGATAAAAAAGTTGTAATTTCCATCAATTTTTCTAAGATACAGCAGTGGCAACATTCTGGGGAGACCCTGAAGGGGTGGGCTGGAGTGTGTTAGCCTGGCGTTGGGTGGTAGTTGGAGACGTCAACGCTGGACTGGGGTAGGAGTCGAAGCAGGAGGGTTATTGAGACTGGGGTCAGATGACAATGATTTTGATTCCATTTTACCTTCTTTCTTACAGGTACTTTGGGAGGTACTTTGGGAAGTACTGGGAGCACATTCTTTTTTACTGCAGCAACCTGGGGAAGAGTTGCAGAGGAGAAGAGATGGATTGAATGAGCCAATTGAAAGCTGGGGGTGGTTAGGTGGCCAGGTTGGGAGTTTAGCCAGGAAACTGGAGTTAACACACTACTCTTGCCATGGGAGTAGTGACCACGGACACTCCCATTAGGAATCAGTTTAATGTCTCATCCAAGGGACTTTACGCTTTTGCAGGGTAGTGTTTCCAATCACTTCCTATGATACTTAAATCACTTGGAGGTCCATTCACTCCCATTGTTTTCTGGTTTTAAAAAATAATGTAAGGGAAGGGTTATACAAAAACAACAGGTGTTTTGCAGTCTTCCTAGTCCAAAGACTACATTAAATGTGAGGATTTTTTTAATCAAGGTGAGTAAGTAGGTAAACTACCCCTTCTGAGGTTGGGGTTAGGATTAGGTGTATGTGTTGTTGGGATTACCTGAGAGGGGGTGCTGGTGAGTTCCATCTTCTCCTGGGATTTCTCCTTGGCTAACCGAGCTGCCTCTTTAAACTCTGCAAACTTCTCTGCAAACTGAGAAAGAACCACAAAGACACAGACAAAACTGACTAAACCAGTTTGTGATGTGTGTGTCTGTGTCTGTGTGTGTATGCACAAGCGTGTTTGTGAGCTCAAGCTTGTTTATATGTGTCCCCCTGTCCCAGTCTGTGATCCCCACATGCTTCAAGATGTCCACCATAGAGAGAAATAGTAATGCTGTCTTTTTGTAGGCACTAACTCCACCATGGTTCGTTGGACAAAACCTATGGGGAAATGAATGGTGTTTTCGTAGGTTTTTGGATAAACACAGAAAATAAGGTCTGTAGTAAACACAGGCTTAGGAGATCTTATATGTTTTGTTCTATGAGATAATGAGATAATCTTCATCAGCTAACGGCACTTTTTGTGAATTTTGAAGCATTTATATAATAACAAAATTAATACATGTTAACTGACTGATATTATTTCATAGAACAAAACGTATACGATCTCCTAAGCCTGTGTTAACCTCAGACCTTATTTCCTGCGTTTATCCCAAAACCCTATTCTTTCCCCATTCATTTTCCCCATAAGGATGGCGGAACGAACCAGAAGTAACTCATTTCCTGGTTTTATGACTACAAGCTGGCGAGCTCTATTGTCCCTGTATCCAAGCAAACAAAGGTAACCTGCCTAAATGACTATCGCCCTGTAGCACTCACTTCTATCATCATTAAGTGCTTTGATCCCACCTGGACAAGAGGAATACCTATGTGAGAATGCGGTTCATCGACTACAGTTCAGCTTTCAACACCATAGTCCCCTCCAAGCTCGTCACTAAGCTCAAGGCCCTGGGTCTGAACTCCTCTCTCTGCAACTGGATCCTGGACTTCCTGACACGCAGACCCCAGGCGGTGAGCGTAGGCAACAACACCTCCCCCACACTGACTTTCAACACGGGGGCCCCCCAGGTATTTGTGCTCAGCCCCCTCCTGTACTCCCTGTACACTCATGACTGCGTGGACTCCAACACCATCATTAAGTTTGCCGAGACACAGCGGTGCCTTGGAACAACAGGCTCCGAGACAGCTTCTACCACTAGGCCATCAGACTGCTAAACAGCTAACCCTTGCTGTCTCCCTGCACAGACCTGCACCTTAGCTACTATTTGCACCCTAGAGCCTATCTGCACTTTAGAGGCTATTTGCACAGGACTCTCCACACATCCAACCCTTACACACAAGCACACACACACACACATAACATACCCACCCACAAACACACACACACACTGCGGCTCTAGTATATGAGTGCTAAATGGAGCAATCTTTTACATTCAGCATCACTCCGTCAAGGGAAATATAGTATGGATATAACGATTCACCGATACGCATCGGTCCTTGATTCAAATGTTTAAGATATGACTGCATCGGTCTGTGGACCCCAAACCGATCCAAATGTAGCATGCATTGGTCATAAAATCAATTCAAACGTTACGAATCACCGATTCACTAACATGTTTTGCTCATATTACTTTCTTTCTACCTTCCGAAAAATACCTCATCTTTTGTGGCATCTTCAGTGTCGAACTAAGCATGTAACTGTGTTGACAGTCAATGATCGACAAGTCATTTTGCCTGCCAAACAACCCTAGGGAATATCAGTAGCCTAGTCAAACTGGGCACTGTGCCCAGCTTCGCGTGAGGTAAGCGGCCTGTTCCTGATCTTGCACATCTGCGTGGCACCTTCAGCATTCACATGATAAAATGTCTTGGGTTAGCCTTTATTATTTGAGTGACAACCTATGCAATTCTCTAGGTTATTGTTATTTATGCGCTGTTGAAAATTGTGTTTTACCGGAATAAAGGTGAGCTACCGGAGACACAACTCTCATCTGGCTATACATGCTGAACGGGGCTTACAATAGATTTTATTTAGATAGTTCAGGTTTACCATCAGCAATAGTTTTGGTAGTTTTGCTTTAAACTATCAGTGCATATGGTCATTTTTAGATATACAGGGTAAAGTTGATAATTTCATAACAATGAATCACTTTTGCGAGGCGCACTGCATGTAGTGATGTGCAGTTCGCAAACGATTCGTTATTTTTGAACGACTCTTTTTACTGACTCGTTTTTCTGAGTGACTTGTTCATTTTAGTCGTTCGTTTGACCTGCTGGCCGCAATGACTCCTATAGCAGGATTAATTAACTCTCCTCCGGCTCAGCTGCCCCAGAGACATGCTCCAACCAACAACTGTCTGTCATACAGTTCATTCGGAAAGTATTCAGACCTGAAACTGAAATACCTTATTTATATAAGTATTCAGACCCTTTGCTATGAGACTCGAAAACAGGTGCATCCTGTTTCCATTGATCATCCTTGAGATGTTTCTACAACTTGATTGGAGTTCACCTCTGGTAAATTCAATTGATTGGACATGATTTGGAAAGGCACACAGCTATCTGTTTTCAGGTTAAAAAATAAACGGAATAGAGCTAAGCACAGGCAAAATCCTAGAGGAAAACCTGGTTCAGTCTGCTTTCCACCAGACTCTGGGAGATTCATTTACCTCTCAGTAGGACAATAACCTAAAACACAAGGCCAAATCTACACTGGAGTTGCTTACCAAGAAAACAGTGAATGTTCCTGAGTGGCCGAGTTATAGTTTTAACTTAAATCTACATGAAAATCTACCTGAAAATGGTTGTCTAGCGATGATCAACAACCAATTTGACAGAGCTTGAGGAATTTTGAAAAGAATAATGAGCAAATGTTGCACAATCCAGGTGTGGAAAGCTCTTAGAGACTTACCCAGAAAGACACACAGTTGTAATCACTGCCAAAGGTACTTCTACAAATTATTGACTCAGGGGTGTGAATACTTATGTAAATTAGATAGTTTTGTATTTCATTTTAAATAAATTTGCTAAAATGTCAAAAAACGTTTTCACTTTGTCATTATGGGGTATTGTGTGTAGGGGGTAATATGTTTAATCCATGTTGAATTCAGGCCGTAACACAACTAAATGTGGAATATGTCAAGCGTTAAGCATACCTTCTCAAGGCACTGTATTTACTGTAGATACCAGGGTAGGGGTCAATTCAATTTCAATTCCAGTCAATTCAGAAAGTAAGCTAAATTCCAATTCCAAATGTTCCTCATTGAAAAGCATTGAAAATAATTGGAATTTGGAATTTCAGTGTACTGGAATTGACTGTAATTGAACCCAACCCTGCTAGATAGGTATTGAATAATCTTGGAAGGGAAAGATGCACATCCCTAAAATATAGTATTCTTTCTAAAAAAGATATCTACATACAGTGCCTTGCAAAAGTATTCATCCCCCTTGGTGTTTTTCCTATTTTGTTGCATTACAACCTGTAATTTAAATGGATTTTTATTTGGATTTCATGTAATGGACATACACAAAATAGTCCAAGTTGGTGAAGTGAAATGAAAAAAAGAACTTGTTTCAAACAATTCTAAAAAATTAATAACGGAAAAGTGGTGCATGCATATGTATTCACCCTCTTTGCTATGAAGCCCCTAAATAAGATCTGGTGCAACCAATTACCTTCAGAAGTCACATAATTAGTTAAATAAAGTCCACCTGTGTGCAATCTAAGTGTCACATGATCTCAGTATATACAGTGGGGAGATCAAGTATTTGATACACTGCCGATTTTGCAGGTTTTCCTACTTACAAAGCATGTAGAGGTCTGTCATTTTTTTCATAGGTACAGTGGGGGAAAAAAGCATTTAGTCAGCCACTAATTGTGCAAGTTCTCCCACTTAAAAAGATGAGAGAGGCCTGTAATTTTCATCATAGGTACACGTCAACTATGACAGACAAAATGAGAAAAATAAATCCAGAAAATCACATTGTAGGATTTTTTATGAATTTATTTGCAAATTATGGTGGAAAATAAGTATTTGGTCAATAACAAAAGTTTTTCAATACTTTGTTATATACCCTTTGTTGGCAATAACACAGGTCAAACGTTTTCTGTAAGTCTTCACAAGGTTTTCACACACTGTTGCTGGTATTTTGGCCCATTCCTCCATGCAGATCTCCTCTAGTGCAGTGATGTTTTGGGGCTGTCGCTGGGAAACACGGACTTTCAACTCCCTCCAAAGATTTTCTATGGGGTTGAGATCTGGAGACTGGCTAGGCCACTCCAGGACCTTGAAATGCTTCTTACGAAGCCACTCCTTCGTTGCCCGGGCGGTGTGTTTGGGATCATTGTCATGCTGAAAGACCCAGCCACGTTTCATCTTCAATGCCCTTGCTGATGGAAGGAGGTTTTCACTCAAAATCTCACGATACATGGCCCCATTCATTCTTTCCTTTACACGGATCAGTCGTCCTGGTCCCTTTGCAGAAAAACAGCCCCAAAGCATGATGTTTCCACCCCCATGCTTCACAGTAGGTATGGTGTTCTTTGGATGCAACTCAGCATTCTTTGTCCTCCAAACACGACGAGTTGAGTTTTTTCCAAAATGTTCTATTTTGGTTTCATCTGACCATATGACATTCTCCCAATCCTCTTATGGATCATCCAAATGCACTCTAGCAAACTTCAGACGGGCCTGGACATGTACTGGCTTAAGCAGGGGGACACGTCTGGCACTGCAGGATTTGAGTCCCTGGCGGCTTAGTGTGTTATTGATGGTCATTCACTAGGTCCCCCCGTGTGGTTCTGGGATTTTTGCTCACCGTTCTTGTGATCATTTTGACCCCACTGGGTGAGATCTTGCGTGGAGCCCCAGATCGAGGGAGATTATCAGTGGTCTTGTTTGTCTTCCATTTCCTAATAATTGCTCCCACAGTAGATTTCTTCAAACCAAGCTGCTTACCTATTGCAGATTCAGTCTTCCCAGCCTGGTGCAGGTCTACAATTTTGTTTCTGGTGTCCTTTGACAGCTCTTTGGTCTTGGCCATAGTGGAGTTTGGAGTGTGACTGTTTGAGGTTGTGGACAGGTGTCTTTTATACTGATAACAAGTTCAAACAGGTGCCATTAATACAGGTAACGAATGGAGGACAGAGGAGCCTCTTAAAGAAAAAGTTACAGGTCTGTGAGAGCCAGAAATCTTGCTTGTTTGTAGGTGATCAAATACTTATTTTCCACCATAATTTGCAAATAAATTCATTACAAATCCTACAATGTGATTTTCTGGAGAAAAAAAATCTCAATTTGTCTGTCATAGTTGACGTGTACCTATGATGAAAATTACAGGCCTCTCTCATCTTTTTAAGTGGGAGAACTTGCACAATTGGTGGCTGACTAAATACTTTTTTCCCCCACTGTATTTCTGAATGTTGTGTATCCCTAGCAAAAAACTGAAAAATGTGTTCTCTTGGCACAACTTACCCCGGGTAAATTGAGCCGCGGGACAGGGTAAGTTAAGCCGCCTACACATTTCTGTACTGAAAAATATTACCACTACCTTTTTAAAACCATGTCTATCTTTATTTCCCAAACACAATTCAACACAATCGCAATGGCTTTTTGTCTTGTAAGCATTTTAAGCATCTTAAGCATCCTTTTACAGGCTTAACACCTAACACACACGTTGTACTTTCCTTCAAGGAGGCTGCCTTACATTACGCCTGGGAAGAAAACACTTCAATTTGCTCAACTTGCCATTAGCTCAACCATTGGCTCAACTTAACCCATGGCCATTGGCTGAACTTACCCCAAGGCAAACATTTTTACTATATTAGCCGACACAGCTACAAGGATGCACTTTTAGGAGCTCATATTGAAGCTTATAGAATGCCAACTGATGTATAAAACAATCTTTAAATGATCTACTTTGGTTTAGATAAAAGCATCATGAAACCTCTAACACAATAAATCCCAAAAAATGTGGACCTTACTTGCTTACCACTTTTTCCAAGAGGTTTCTTCCTTCACAGACTCCATGAAATGATGACCTCTTATGGATGACCTCTTCCTAAATATTTGGTCATGTGATTCATTTTGTGTATAGTTTCCTAGAAACAAGGGTGGCTCTACTTACCCATCTGGCTCAACTTACCCCACTCTCCCCTACATTGTAATTAGAATATAATAGAATATAATGGAATAAAACATATTGTCCATCCAGGATGGACATTTTTATTTGGCATCACCTTCCATTAAAATGATCACATACACATACATTCTCAACTTCATAGACATTTAAACCAGTCAGTCCATCATGTTGCATACACTAAAAACATAGAGGACATTGATACATTCACTCACAACCGACCACTGTCCCAACTGCACTGGATAGATAAGTACATATACTGATACAATTTACTTTGCATTTAGTAGTCCAACAGCACAAGGAACGAATGAATGTTTGAACACGTTCTTCTTGGCCATGGGCATTCTGAAGCACCGGCCAGAGGGAAGCCTCTCGAACTGAGGGTGTAGAGGGTGGGAGGGGTCGCCAACGACAGCCAGTGCCTTCTTTTTGGTTGCCTTGTGGAACAGACTGCTCAAATGTGCCTGTGGTCAACCAAGTACTTGACATAGCACATACACTATCTATTCTGTATATCATATTGTGTACATATCAGGCTATTACTTTGCATACTACCTCTTCTATTACTTGTTATTTTTTATTTGAATGGACTATTATTGATATTATTGTACTGCAATTCTGAGGGAGCTAGCACACAAGCATTTTGCTGCACCTTTTATGCCTACTGTAAACTGTGTACGTGACAAATAAAATGTCATTGGAATTTGATTGGATTGGATTTGATTTGAGTGTGTGTGTGTGTGTACCTTGAGCAGGTTGTTCTCTGAGGAGAAGCCTAGACCGTAGACGGTGTTGGCTCGGCTGTCGGCCCACTGGCCAAATTTCTGGGAGGTCTTCGTAAAGGTCATGTTGGGGGTGATGGTGCTGTTGATGATTGCCTGGGGAAGGAGAGAAGAGTTCTATGAGTCACAAAAGCAATGCTGATCATTTTATGTCTAAGCCCATTTGTCTAAGATGAGTGGGCTTGTATTCTGGATGGTTGCCTACAGCAACAGTAACGACTGGATATGTATTATCTATCTGTGTTTGTGTCAGATGGAAAGTCTGTGTGTGTGTGTGTGTATGTGTGTGTGTTACATCCCCATTGATCGGTAAAGAAGAAGCAGTCAATGAGAATGAAGGCCCCAGTGAGGCTGATTGACTCAACTGGCATCGACCACAGTTGGAGAAAGGGGAGAGGGGTGAGGGAGAGGGCGGGGGCGGGGGCGGGGGTGGGGGTGGGAGGTGTGTGGTGAAGTAGAGAGGGAGGTAGGTGGGTGAGGGAGGGGTGTTGGATGAGGGAGTAAGGGAGATGAGGTGTGGCACACTGGTATTGTTGCCTCTGAGACATGAAGCCTGTTTGTAGTACTTGGGGCATATTAGTTCTATGCGGGCCCGGATCCACAAGGGGGCAAAGGGGGAAAAGGGGGGCGAAAGGGGCCTTAGCCCCATAAGTTGAAACTTGTGCCCCCTCAGTTTTAGTTTTATGTCCCTATATAAAAATAGCAAGAAAGTTAAAATGATTGAGTGAGAGGTTGCCGCAAAAAATCTGTATCTCTGCTTTCTAGCCACTGCCGCTCCGCATCTCATCATTCCATTTGTTTTGTCTTGTTTATTACACACACCTGGTTCATATCCCCTCATCAGTACCTGTATAAGTGTTCCCTCTGCCCCCTTGTCTTTGTGTGTGATTGTTTATTGTGGAGGATAGTTAAGCTCGGTGGAGCTCTGTGTATTTTGTATCGCCGGGATATTTCCCTGTGTGCCGTGTATTTTCCAGTGCGCCTGTTTGCACACTAGAGTGTTTTGACGCATTTCTGTGTAACTCTGTAATTCCGGAATAAAGCCTGTTATTCTGTGATTTACCCTCCTGCGCCTGACTCCTTCGACATCACCTCATCACACAGAGCGCGCCGCGGTGTGTGTAGCAGGGCTATGGAAACCACTGGGGCCGTTAGGTATGACTCCCTTGGCTTTCTATTTTAAAAAATAACGCTTCTCATCTGTGTTAGGCTAAGTGAATAACGTGATATGCCTCCGCCTGTAATATTTGATTTTGATTTATAAGGGCGGGGTCAAGTTTACCGTAGAAGCTGCTTCACTCAACGCCCTACCACAACATATTTTAGATAGCTTCTTAGCTAGCTGTAAAAAGCTTTAGTGTTATTAGCCTTAACCTATTTAGCTAGCTCGAACTAGCTAATCTGCCACTACCACGATGGATATCAGAATTTGGCTTCGCCAAAGTATCCAAACAAAGCCAAGGGAGAAGGGGACACCTGGCTACAGTGTCAGTGGTTGTTAAAAGTTGTGAAAGCATTGTGAAGTTCCTCTCTGACATCGAATGCACGTGTTCTTACAACACAGAAGTAAGACTTGAGGCTAAAGGACTTCTGAAGGTGGTGACGGACCATGGCTTTAAGTTTACAGCCACCATGGTGCACATAATCCTCAGTCTTCTTGATCCTCCAAACAAACGACTCCAGGCAAAAGCAATGGATCTTTACACTGGAGTCAAAGTGGTCCATAGTGCGTTGGAGAGCATTGAGAAGCTGAGGTGTGACAGCGAGTTCGAAGCTTTTTGGGCAGAGTTAAGTGCCAAGTGGCACTGACGCACCACCAGCTCCAAGCAAACGACGACGTTATGTAAGTACAAATCGCAAGAAATATGTGTTGGACAGTACAGTAGGCCAGCAGGACATAGGAGAAGAGACTGAGTGTAAAAGACTGTTCTTCAGCACATTGGATACTGTCATTGGTGAAATGTCAGAATGATTCAGCGAAAGCAACAGCCAACTGGTGGAGACCTTGTGTGCCCTTGACCTAGAGAGCCATAACTTTCTAGATGTGAAAAAGGTGAAACCACTGCTGGATCTAAGCAAAACTGATTTGGTGGAAGCTGAGTTTAGTGTTGCTAGCCAGTTTTTGTAGACTGAAATCGCCCGCTCCGGCTCCAATGAGGACAAATGGACCCTACTTGATATCCTGCAATGATTCTCTAGGCCACAGTTACATGCGAGAACTCATTTTTCACTTTGAAAAACGTGTTCAGTCAGCACAGAAGAAGCATGCTACAACAGAGGAGAGCTCAACTAATCCAACTGGCATTTGAGGGGGATCTTACAAGAAGATTTCAGGGAGAATGGAATGATCGATTACTCAGGAAGTTCCACAGAGCTTCAAGGAGGCTGCAACTCTTCTGAAAAGGTAAGAAACAATCTACACTGAACAAAAATATAAACGCAACAACTTCAAAGATTTTACTGAGTTACAGTTCATATGAGGACACCAGTCAATATAAATAAATAAATGAGGCCCTAATCTTTGGATTTAACATGACTGGGAATACAGATATGCATCTGTTCGTCACAGATACCTTAAAAAAAGGTAGAGGCGTGGATCAGAAAACCAGAAAACCTCTTCAATGGCTGTGCGTAGTTGCTGGATATTGGCGGGAACTGGAACAAACTGTCGTACACGTCGAACCAGAGCATCCCAAACATGCTAAATGGGTGACATGTCTGTTGAGTGTGCAGGACATGGAAGAACTGCGACATTTTCAGCTTCCAGGAATTGTGTACAGATCCTTGCGACATGGGGCTGTGCATTATCATGCTGAAACATGAGGTGATGGCAGCGGATGAATGGCACAACAATGGGCCTCAGGATCTCATCACGGTACCTCTGTGCATTCAAATTGCCATCGATAAAATGCAATTGTGTTCGTTGTCCGTAACTTATGCCTGCCCATACCATAACCCCACTGCCACCATGGGGCATTTTATTCACAACGTTGAAATCAGCAAACCGCTCGCCCACACGACACCAGACACGCTGTCTGCAGCCCAGTACAGTTGAAACCGGAATTCATCCGTGAAGAGCACACATCTCCAGCGTGCCAGTGGCCATCGATAGTGAGCATTTGCCCACTGAAGTCGATGACGAACTGCAGTCAGGTCAAGACCCTGGTGAGGATGATGAGCATGCAGATGAGCTTCCCTGAGATGTTTTCTGACAGTTTGTGCAGAAATTATTCGGTTGTGCAACCCCACAGTTTCATCAGCTGTCCGGGTGGCTGGTCTCAGATGATCCCGCAGGTGAAGAAGCCGGATGTGGAGGTCCTGGGCTGGCGTGGTTACACGTGGTATGCGGTTGTGAGGGCAGTGCTCTAAAACGACGTTGGAGGTGGCTTATGGTAGAGAAATGAACATTCAATTCTCTGGCAACTGCTCTGGTGGACATTCCTGCAGTCAGCATAGCAATTGCCCGCCCCTCAAAACTACGACTGGCCTAGCCAGTCTCCAGACCTTAATCTCATAGAAAATCTGTGGAGGGAGCTGAAGGTTCGAGTTGCCAAACGTCAGCCTCGAAACCTTAATGACTTGGAGAAGATCTGCAAAGAGGAGTGGGACAAAATCCCTCCTGAGATGTGTGCAAACCTGGTGGCCAACTACAAGAAACGTCTAACCTCTGATTGCCAACAAGGGTTTTCCCACCAAGTACTAAGTCATGTTTTGCACAGGGGTCAAATACTTATTTCCCTCATTAAAATGCAAATCAATTTATAACATTTTTGACATGCGTTTATCTGGATTTTGTTGTTGTTATTCTGTCTCTCACTGTTCAAATAAATCTACCATTAAAATTATAGACTGATAATTTCTTTGTCAGTGGGCAAACGTACAAAATCAGCAGGGGATCAAATACTTTTTTCCTTCACTGTATAAGCAGAATTCAATATAATTTCAATGCAAAAACCCAAATGACGCCACTGGGTATAGCTACATATCGGTATATTTCATCATAGAAATATATACATTCTATGATGTTTTTTTCTTGGTAACCTATTGATTTTTGTGGTTGTAAATAGAAATGTAAGTATTGGAAACGTGTTTTTGGTAGGCCGGCATATTCTAAGCCAAACTGCTATTCAGTATTTTTGTTCGCATGCATGAATATATAGGCTCCTACATTCAGCATTTAGTTTGCATTATTTTGGTAAGACAGCTGTGTATACGGCTGTATTCACATAGGTTGTTTGAAATAGGTGTTTTACCCTATCTATCTTGTAGCCTATATTCATTACTAACGGCCTTGCTTTAGTGTTTAGGGCGCTGTCCATTGTGCTGATACAGCACAGCGGAGATATGCTACAGATTTTGCGCCAACCTGTCACTTCAAAAGCACTCAATGATCTCGGCATCTCTGCATGTGAACTTTATGTTTATTGTGGTATAGCATGATATAAGCAGAATTCAATATCATTCCAATGCAAGAACGCCGATTTCAACTGCCCCCTTAGAACCAGGCCTGGCACCAGGATAAAGTAACTATGTACTTTCTATGTAAATTCTATGTGTGTAAAGTTCTATGTTTGTCTATGTGTGTCTTACAGTGGGCTGTGTGGATGTTAATGACGAGTTTATCCTAGAGCGGCAGGCAGGTGGGCAGCACCACACTGCAGCCAACCCTGGTATTTCAAGCTTAGCCCAGCCCAGCGCAGTAACGGTAACCCCACAGTTGAGTTCACCCACTCGCTAGCTAGCTACAGTAGCTCCACAGCACCAAGGGTCACATATACAGCAATGGAGAGAGAAGCAGAGGACTCTGTGTGTGTGTGTGTGTGTGTGTGTGTGTGTGTGTGTGTGTGTGGAGAGCATTACATAACCGTTGCAGTGCTGAAATAGTTCCTCCTCCCCTGCAACCCTCTGAAGACAAAAATAATCGTTGTTATGACGTACAGAACATAAGAGGCCATAACGCCCCCACGCCACTACCAACCCATGGGCTCTGCTGCTGCTGCTGCTGCTACCGTTGGCCATGGAAACACACACACACTGTTGGCAAATGTAGGGTGTGTGTGTTGAGTGAGACTGCAACTCAATCTCTGGTTGTGTATGAGGGGACGATCAAATGGGCAACGTCTGTGTGTGAGAGGGAGTACAGTACACAAGCACGCGTTTCACATAAATCAATCCATGATTGATTCTAACTGATCTATAGTTCTACCAGCCCAGAGCCTGAGGGAGCCAGCCTGGTGCCACCTCTAATTTGCTCCCCATAAAATCCCTTTGTTCAGAGGGGAACCATGTGCAACCTCTAATATCTTCCCCTCCTTTTACAAATCTTTAATATACACACCTTGGAGCCGTCGAGGCTGATGATGCGGTAGACGTTGCGCGTGCTGTCGTAGAAGTAGGACACTGTGACGGCGTGTTTACTGGTGGGAACCCAGTTCTTCTTGGTGGTGGGGTCGATCTGGAAGACATGGGCCCTCGTACTGAAGATAGGCTGCTCTCTGCAGAGGAGAGGGAGAGAGAGAGAGTGGGAGAGTCTGCATATACATGGGAATTAAACTCACCACCCTGGTCTTGGTTCGTACAGCTGAGCCGTGTGAAACAAAAGTGCTGGGAGTGTGGAGTGTGTGTGTTTGTGGTAGGTGAGAGACACACACACTGCCTCCAGAGATCTCTACACACATCCATTATTCACAGTCTCCTGCAGTGCGCTGCACTTGCCATGACTGGGAGGGGAAAATACACACACAAACACACCCTTCAGTTCCAGTATGTGTGTGCGAACTCTTCAATCCAGATGTACCTCCATTAACATTAGCAAGGAGTTTTAATACCAGCACGAGAAAGACAAACATTACGTAGCCACAGACAGAAATCATTTACTAGAAATGAACGGATGTTATTTTGAAGTTAATCAAATTGAATTGCTGGGTACATTAAGGTACTAAAACAGGAGCAACAGGGATAAATCATGTTCCACTAGCCCATTCATTACAGATAATGTGCCTCTGCTAAGGCAATAGAGAGGAGGGTCATTAAAGATGATGCATTCCCAGCACAATGCCATTTAAACTGTTACAGCTGCCTGATAAAAATAATTTAACATTAAACTACAAGGAAGTGCTTCCTTTTACTTAAAGCTCTTTGATATAATGTACAGGTACGTAGCATTAATATTCAACCCATAGAAGCGGTTAGATTGGATTGTTGCTCTCCGTGTGGTACTTACAGGATGAGATGAGAGAGAGGATAAGAGTGGCAATATAGGATTGAATAGAGAAAATGGGATAAAAGTATGACAGAGGAACTCTTCGAATAAGGGCTGAAGAAGAGGATGGGAGTATGTATGTGTGATAGAGAGAGAGAGAGAGAGAGTGAGCGAGAGACAGATGTTAAATTCTACAACCACCTAAAAGGAAGTGATTCCCAAACCTTCCATAACAAAGCCATCACCTACAGAGAGATTAACCTAGAGAAGAGTCCCCTAAGCAAGCTGGTCCTGGGGCTCTGTTCACAAACACAAACAGACCTCACAGAGCCCCAGGACAGCAACAAGTATTTGATCCCCTGCTGATTTTGTACGTTTGCCCACTGACAAAGAAATGATCAGTCTATAATTTTAATGGCAGGTTTATTTGAACAGTGAGAGACAAAATAACAACAAACAAATCCAGAAGAATGCATGTAAAAAATGTTATAAATTGATTTGCATTTTAATGAGGGAAATACGTATTTGACCCCTCTGCAAAACATGACTTAGTACTTGGTGGCAAAACCCTTGTTGGCAATCACAGAGGTCAGACGTTTCTTGTAGTTGGCCACCAGGTTTGCACACATCTCAGGAGGGATTTTGTCCCACTCCTCTTTGCAGATCTTCTCCAAGTCATTAAGGTTTCGAGGCTGACGTTTGGCAACTCAAACCTGCTGTTCCCTTCACAGATTTTTCTATGGGATTAAGGTCTGGAGACTGGCTAGGCCACTCCAGGACCTTAATATGCTTCCTCTTGAGCCACTCCTTTGTTGCCTTGGCCGTGTGTTTTGGGTCATTGTTATGCTGGAATACCCATCCACGACCCATTTACAATGCCCTGGCTGAGGGAAGGACGTTCTCACCCAAGATTTGATGGTACATGGCCCCGTCCATCGTCCCTTTGATGCGGTGAAGTTGTCCTGTCCCCTTAGCAGAAAAACACCCCCAAAGCATAATGTTTCCACCTCCATGTTTGACGGTGAGGATGGTGTTCTTGGGGTCATAGGCAGCATTCCTCCTCCTCCAAACATGGCAAGTTGAGTTGATGCCAAAGAGCTCGATTTTGGTCTCATCTGACCACAACACTTTCACCCAGTTCTCCTCTGAATCATTCAGATGTTCAATGGCAAACTTCAGACGGCCCTGTATATGTGCTTTCTTGAGCAGGGGGAGCTTGCGGGCGCTGCAGGATTGCAGTCCTTCACGGCGTAGTGTGTTACCAATTGTTTTCTTGGTGACTATGGTCCCAGCTGCCTTGAGATCATTGACAAGATCCTCCCGTGTAGTTCTGTGCTGATTCCTCACCGTTGTCATGATCATTGCAACTCCACGAGGTGAGATCTTGCATGGAGCCCCAGGCCGAGGGAGATTGACAGTTATTTTGTGTTTCTTCCATTTGCGAATAATCGCACCAACTGTTGTCACCTTCTCACCAAGCTGCTTGGTGATGGTCTTGTAGCCCATTCCAGCCTTGTGTAGGTCTACAATCTTGTCCCTGACATCCTTGGAGAGCTCTTTGGTCTTGGCCATGGTGGAGAGTTTGGAATCTGATTGATTGATTGCTTCTGTGGACAGGTGTCTTTTATACAGGTAACAAACTGAGATTAGGAGCACTCCCTTTAAGAGTGTGCTCCTAATCTCAGCTCGTTACCTGTATAAAAGACACCTGGGAGCCAGAAATCTTTCTGATTGAGAGGGGGTCAAATCCTTATTTCCCTCATTAAAATGAAAAATCAATTTATAACATTTTTGACATGCGTTTTTCTGGATTTTGTTGTTGTTATTCTGTCTCTCACTGTTCAAATAAACCTACCATTAAAATTATAGACTGATAATTTCTTTGTCAGTGGGCAAACAAATTCAGCAGGGGATCAAATACTTTTTACAAAATGAGGAGGAAACTGAGATGCACTTCCTAAGCTCCTGCCAAATGTATGACCATATTAGAGACACATATTTCCCTTAGATTACACAGAACCAAAATAATTAGAAAACAACTCATATCTATTAGGTGAAATACCACAGTGTGCCATCACATCATCAAGATGTGTGACCTGTTGCCACAAGAAAAGGGCATCCAGTGAAGAACATTGTAAATACTACCAATATTTATGTTTATTTATTTTCCCTTTTGTACTTTAACTATTTGCACATTGTTACAACACTGTACATAGCCATAATATGACATTTGAAATGTCTCTATTCCTTTGAAATGTTACTGTTAATTTTTTATTTCACTTTTTTTTATTATCTATTTCACTTGCTTTGGTAATGTAAACACACAGAGCATTCGGAAAGTATTCAGACCCCTTCACTTTTTCCACATTTTCTTATTTTACAACCTTATTCTAAAATGGATTAAAGAAATGTTTTTCCTCATCAATCTAAACACAATTCCCCATAATGACGAAGCGAAAAAAAGGTTTTTAGAAATGTTTGCAAATGTATTAAAAATAAAAAACTGAAATACCTTATTTACATAAATATTCAGACCCTTTGCTATGAGACTCGAAATTGTGCTCAGGTGCATCCTGTGTCCATTGACCATCCTTGAGATGTTTCTACAACTTGATTGGATTCCTCCTCTGGTAAATTCAATTGATTGGATATGATTTGGAAAAGGCACACGCTTGTCTATATAAGGTCCCACAGTTGACAGTGCATGTCAGAGCAAAACCAAGCCATGAGGTCGAAGGAATTGTCCATAGAGCTCCAAGACAGGATTGTGTTGAGGCAAAGATCTGGGAAAGGGTAGCAAAACATTTCTGCAGCATTGAAGGTCCCCAAGAACACAGTGGCCTCCATCATTCTTAAATGGAAGAAGATGGGAACCACCAAGACTCTTCCTAGAGCTGGCCGCCAGGCCAAACTGAGCAAACGGGGTAGAAGGGCCTTGGTCAGGGAGGTGACCAAGAACCCAATGGTCACTCTGACAGAGCTCCAGAATTCCTTTGTGGAGATGGGAGAACCTTCCAGAAGGACAACCGTCTCTGCAACACTCCACCAATCAGGCTTTTATGGTAGAGTGGCCAGACGGAAGCCACCCCTCAGTAAAAGGCACTTGACAGGTGTGCCAAGCTTGTAGCGTCATACCCAAGAAGACTCAAGGCTGCAGTGCCTTGCAAAAGTATTCATCCCCCTAGGCGTTTTTCCTATTTTGTTGCATTACAACCTGTAATTTAAATGAATTTTTATTTGGATTTCATGTAATGGACATACACAAAATAGTTCAAGTTGGTGAAGTGAAATGAAAAAAATAACTTGTTTCAAAAAATTCTAAAAAATAAATAACGGAAAAGAGGTGTGTGCATATGTATTCACCCCCTTTGCTATGAAGCCCCTAAATAAGATCTGGGGCAAACAATTACCTTCAGAAGTCACATAATTAGTTCAGTAAAGTCCACCTGTGTGCAATCTAAGTGTCACATGATCTGTCACATGATCTCAGTATATATGCACGTGTTCTGAAAGGCCCCAGAGTCTGCAACACCACTAAGCAAGGGGCACCACCAAGCAAGCGGCACCGTGAAGACCAAGGAGCTCTCCAAACAGGTCAGGGACAAAGTTGTGGAGAAGTACAGATCAGGGTTGGGTTATAAAAAAATATCAAAAACTTTGAACATCCCATGGAGCACCATTAAATACATTATTAAAAGATGGAAAGAATATGGCACCACAACAAACCTGCCAAGAGAGGGCCGTCCACCAAAACTCACAGACCAGGCAAGGAGGGCATTAATCAGAGAGGCAACAAAGAGACCAAAGATAACCCTGAAGGAGCTGCAAAGCTCCACAGCGGAGATTGGAGTATCTGTCCATAGGACCACTTTAAGCCGTACACTCCACAGAGCTGGGCTTTACGGAAGAGTGGCCAGAAAAAAGCCATTGCTTAAAGAACAAAATAAGCAAACCCGTTTGGTGTTCGCCAAAAGGCATGTGGGAGACTCCCCAAACATATGGAAGAAGGTACTCTGGTCAGATGAGACTAAAATTGAGCTTTTTGGCCATCAAGGAAAATGCTATGTCTGGCACAAACCCAACACCTCTCATCACCCTGAGAACACCATCCCCACAGTGAAGCATGGTGGTGGTAGCATCATGCTGTGGGGATGTTTTCATCGGCAGGGACTGAGAATCTGTGGTATGACTTAAAGATTGCTGTACACCAGCGGAACCCATCCAACTTGAAGGAGCTGGAGCAGTTTTGCCTTGAAGAATGGGCAAAAATCCCAGTGGCTAGATGTGCCAAGCTTATAGAGACATACCCCAAGAGAATTGCAGCTGTAATTTTTTGGGGGGGAATAGTTATTTTGCATCTTCAAAGTGGTAGGCATGTTGTGTAAATCAAATGATACAAACCCCCCAAAAATATATTTTCATTCCAGGTTGTAAGGCAACAAAATAGGAAAAATGCCAAGGGGGGTGAATACTTTCGCAAGCCACTGTATAATTGCTGCCAAAGGTGCTTCAACAA